GGGGGGACATTTTAGTTAATGACGCCACCGCAAGGGGAAATAATTTACTTGAATACGTCTTACCGTTTTCTAAACAAAAAACATTTTCTTCATTAGAAATAAGGTCAAAGAGAATTTTTTTTTCTAATTCTCGAACACAAAGCTTGGTCTAAGTTTCTCAAACGTACGCTTCGGCTAAAGTAAACTATACCAGTGAGTAGGAAACTCGTTGAAACTCTGGATGTGTACATTCAATAGATACAGATATATATATATATATATATTTATACATATAAGTCCACACATAAGTGTAAGTGTACTTAGATGTTTATGTGTGTATGCTCACTTGTGCACACGTGCAAATGTTACGTTCAGAGTAAGTACACATTACGAAGTCGAAACCGCGGAAGCGGAACGCGTCGTAATTACGATTCGCCATCTCCCTCTTCATCTCACCCTCTCTGTCTCTTCCACTAACCTGAATATATTTTCCCTCCCTCCTTGCCCAATATAAGCATGCAAAAATTGCACTAAATGCAAAAAATCTTTCGTCCTTTTTTTTTCTCTACACTCCACTTTTTTTCCTAATGTGACGCACGAAAGTAACGTCAAACTACTTTGTTTTTTAAAGTGCAACCACTTTTTTTCGACTTTGGAAAACAAGATGGATGCTTTCAATGTTTAGAAAAAAAAGAATGCTTTTAACTCTAAGAGCTCTTTTTTCTTTTTTGTTTTTAGAGCAAAGTTTCATTTTATTTTTCGATAGATTCGGATTGGCTGGAGGTAAAATTAACTGTACAAGACTGTTTATAGTACCATCTGGTGGTGACACGTGAGTAACCATGAACTGTGTTTATGACGCTATCTATAATAGTGAACTATATAGTTACTATATACGAGATAGTATAAAATGTATATTAAAATTTATATATAGTTATAGACTAGGAAAATTAATTTCGAAGATGGAAAATTTTTTTAGTAATATTATTAATTAGAGTGAAGTGGTTTAAAATGTATAGTATAGGTAAATTTTTTTTCTAGAGGATGAGAGAAATTTATATTTTTCAGCAAAATAAAAGGATGTTTATAGGTAGTTGTGAGCTCAAAGGTTGATGGGTTGACGCTATTAACGAAAGCCCACCCTCTCAGCCTTTGGGGGGTTGAGATTATAAGCAGCCCAAATGACGACGCTGTCGACGGGCGAAGCGCAAAAGCTCTGCCTATGCAGTTCGACAACGAAGAGCAGCTACGGCTTTAATCCATGCTGCCTGATTATAATCTCGTCAGCGAGTTATGCCCTTAGTCTCTCTCTCTCTCTCACTCTCTTCCTAAAAGTATCCCCTTGCCTCTCAACCCAAATTACTTCCAAAGTCTCATCATCTCTCTCTCTCTCTCTTCCTCTCTTCCTCTCTCACTCTCCGAGTCCAAACGCAGATTTAGCTCCTCTGAGAATCGAAGATTAGAAGACAGAATTGGATTGTGTCCTCGAGTCAGAATTACCATCAATCAGTTACCTTAATCAAGCGAATAAAGTAATATTTCCAAAAAAGTAATATTTCCAAAAAATATTCAAAAAAAGTAATATTTTCAAAAAATATTTCAAAAGAAGTAATATTTCAAAAAAATATTCTAAAAAACATTCAAAAAGTATAAAAAAAAACTAATAAACTGGTTAGAATTAACCTGATTCTTAATTTTTAAATATACATTTTTTTAGGTTATAAATGAAAGAAAGAGAAGACTTTTAGTTAGTGACGCCATCGTCAGAGGGAGCGTCATCGTAGTTCAGGACGCCACCGCCCTGCGAAGTAAGTTGACAACATCATGTCAGCTGCCCAACCCTGAAGAGTTAAATTTTTAACTTTCCCTTCTGTTAACCACCTAAACTTAAATATTGAATGAAATTTTCGAAAGTTTAAAAATTTTACTCAACAAGGTTGGGTTAATTGACAAAAGGCACGTGAAAAAAATTCATGAATGTAACCCCTGGAAATTCCATGGATGTAACCTCTGGAAATTCCATGGAATTTCCGTGGAGATTCGATGCAAATTCTGCCACGTTTTTTATTTCAATAATATTAAATTTAATAACAATTTTTTTCCATCCAATGGGAGCTTTTTCCGAAACCCAGAGGTTCTCAGAACTTTCTTAGAATTTATTTCCAATTCAGAAAAAATTTGTATCTTCAAACACGACGCTGGTCTTGAAAATGCTTTTTTAAAACAATTTTTGGAGTTGAATATCAAATTTGTGCTTTTCTCCATTAAATTCGAGCTTTTTTTATTAAAGAAGAGCTTCTTCCGAAACACGGAAGTCGTCAAAACTTTTTTTTAATTTATTTTCGATTTTGAAAAAATTTGTTCCTTGAAAAATGTCGCTGGTCTTGACAATTTTTTTCCCAATTTGGGATTTTTTAAGCAAACTGCGATTATTAAATTTGGGCTTTTATTATTCATCAATTTGGAGCTTTTTTTATTAAAGAAGAATAATAAGAAAAATTTTGCGAAATTTATAGAAACATCCCTTTTCTTTATAAATTTTCCGATTTCAAGGAGTCATTCAGTTGCTTTTAATTATGGACGCTACCACCAGTTGGCGCCTTAAAGTTTGAGGACGCCACCACCAGATGGCTGTGTCCTATGACACAGCCATCTGGTGGTGGCGTCCTCAAACTCTCATAATACATTAATAATTTATTTTCTCATTATTATTGTTTATAAATAAATATTTTTGCTTGTTTATTGTTCTCTATTTAATGTTAAACGGATTTAAATTAGAAAACAAAATATTGAAATATTGTTCTGTTTTTTTTGTTTATTTTATACTATTTTTACTATTTCTACTAAATATGAAATAAAATCATAGGGGATGAATAAAGTTAAGAAGATTAAACATTGTATTAAAAGAAGATCCGTAATTGAAGACGCCATCACCAGGAGGCGCTGTTTTATTTAAGAAACCATGACTAGGGGACGCTGGGTAATTAAAGACGCTACCGCTAGGAGGCGCTCTGTAGTTAAAGACGCCACCGCCAGGAGGCGCTCCGTAGTTAAAGACGCCGTCACCAGGAGGCGCAATAGTAATAAAACTTCGTAAAAAATTCAATATAAATTAAAAAAAACAACTAAAAGATCATAAAAACAACTAGAAAAACAAAAAAATTTCTGGAAAAAAGGAAAATATCGTAAAATAAAATACAAAAAGACACAACAAAAAATTGTCCTAAAATATAAATCTTTTTTTGCGCACGTTGGTTGAAAACGGTTTTTGAAAATTCATTACACAACTCGCTTGAGATTTGTACGCGGGGCAGCGTATAAAGCGGCAAGAAGCGGATATTTGGGAAGGGACGGAGAGGGGTCTTTAATTTCCTTGTGAGCAGTAGCGTGATTTCGCGAAGGGTAGACGAGACGTCCAATCGAGAAGGGGAAATGGTTAAGGTCTTCCATAAGGAGGGGTTGGAAAACGAGAAAGTGCGACGCTACTTCGTTTATAATTCCACAAAAAAAAACATTTCCAAACCGAGGGATTTTTTCTCTTTCTTTTCTTTTCATTTTTTTTTTAATAATTTAAAACCACCATATGATTGCTCAAAGGGCATAAAATTTATATAACATATATATAGAGTGTTATATAGTGGAAGGTCACGCATCTCTAGACAAAAGGTAAAAAAAAGAGAGAAAGAGAGAATTGGTAAAAAATAGAGAAGAATAAGAAGAAAGAAGGGAGCAGAAGAAAAATCCATTTCGACTAATGACGACGCTATCAGGAATTATGTAATTTTTCTCGACTCATATAGAAAATAGGTTTTTAGAGGGGAGGTTGGTCGGGAATGTATCTTTGCACTTTGCAAATTAATTTCTTTTCCAATTAAATTATTGGTCAATATTTTTTTTTCTTCTATTGAGTTATTAATTTTAATTATAAAATGTTTTTTGGTGAAATTTTCAACTAGAAATGGAAGTTAAAATATTTTTTAATTACTTTTAATTGAATTAATTGATAAAAAATACAAGTAAATAGAAAACTTCTGTATTTTTGTATTCAAAATAAAAATTTAATTATCTATTCTTTTGAATAAAAAATATATAGATTATTCAATTCAAGTATTATTCCTGAATAATAATAATTAATTAATATTAATTAATTTTGAAAAATAATTATTAATTAATATTATTATTATTAATTAACAAATTTTGTTTTTTAATTTTTTTACAAGAATTAAAAGAAATGTATTTTTTTCAAATGAGAACAAAGGGGGAAAACGTTTCGATTAAAATGGGGAATTACAAATTTTTTTTTTTTGATAATTTGCACTGTTTTAAATTCTTTATTTAGATAGAGTTGGCTAGTTAAGAAAAAGAAAATATGTTTCGTTAATTAATTTGACGAAGCGGGGATTTCCAAATTTCCTTTTTTTCTCAATTTCGTCGAATTTATTTATAATTAAATTATTATCTGATAAACAATTTAAAATTTTTCGAGTTAAATTCTTCAATTTGTAATTAAGACAAGTAAATAAGGAAATATAAATTAATTATTTATTATTTTTTCATTATTGAGTTATTAATGATTTTAAATAATTTTAAAACATTTTTCTTTTTTATTTTAAATTTAAAATGAAAGTTTAAATTGTCTAAATATTGTAGTAATTAGTAAAGTAAATAAATAATTAACATTTTCTTTTTTTTGTATGTAAAATAAAAATTCAATAATTTTTTTAATTCAGAATAATTATTGACATTCTGTTACAAATATCAATATGTAAAAAATAATATTAATTGACATTAATTAATTATTATAATCGCAATTAATATTTTATTCATGAATTAATAAAAAAGAAATATCAATTAATATTATTATTAAATGTAATTATAATTTATTTATAATATTATAAATTATTATTATTATTAATTATAATTATTATAAATTATTTAAATTAAATTTGTTAATTTTGTGTTTATTTTAAATAAATGAAAAGAAAATATTTACTCTTTTCTTTGAATTGAGAACGAAAGGGAAAAAATTGTCGAGTGAAAACAAAAGAAATTGACTGTTTCCATGGTTACGAATAAATTAATGAGTGACAGTCATTCGATGATCATTAGTCGAAGTAGAAACGTCAAATTGTCATCGTTCCTTTAAATATTTATAGAAATTGTGAGAAAAATAATTTTTTTTTTGTGAGAAAAATGGCCCGAACTCCAAGATCAGCGAAAATTTCCATCGATGACCGAAAATTGGCCGATTTGTTCAAAGGGAATTCAAAGAAAATTTCTGACGACTTCGAAGCTAAGGGTACAAAAAAATTTGTTCTTTTCTTTCTCCCTTTATTTGAATTAATTTCAAATTTTTGAAAATGTTTTTTTTACATATAATACGAAAAAAAAATTTTTTTTTGTAATTTTAACGTGAAAAAGATTTTTCCTTTTTGGTTCGATCAATTGTTTTTAATTAAAAAATAATTATTTACCAACTTTAATTTTTTACAATAAATTTTAAAAAATGTTATTCTTTTATTATTTAAAAATTTATAATTTTTATTCTTATCAATTTATAAAAAAATTTTTTTTTTAATATTTATAAAATTAAAATTTTTTTTATACAAATCTTTCTGAATTCGTTTTTATAAAACTTTTATAAATTGAAATAAATTTTTTGCGTAATTTTTTTCAACTGAAATGAAATATCTTTGTCAAATATTTTTCTACCGTAAAAAATATTTCATATTTAATAATTTTAGGTTAAAAAAAATTTTTCCTTTCATTTCGCAAAATTTCTTTATGAATTATTCCATTTTATTTTCTGGGTTGAAAAAAAAATTAATTAAATATTAAAATTCTAGTTTTAGAATATTTTTTTTAAAAAAACATTTTATTTTTAAGCACATTTCGAATTATTTTGATTTCCGCTCTTCGTGCTTAATATTCTCATTTGAAATAAACTCCATCTAGGAACATAAACATAAAAGAAAATATTTTTTTTTTATGTTATCTTTGCTGTGCGCTCTCCGTTTATTCTCCTTTCTATGGAATAATCCTTGACTTTTTTATTTCGAGAAAGAGAAAAAAAAAATTTTTTTTTCCATTCCCACTGTTACGTATCGTTCATCATTGAATTTACTTTACTCCGGAAAGCATCAGCAGAACGTCTGCAAGCTTGCCATTCATATTTTTTTTATCTCTAGAAAAAATCGTATACAAAAAAAAAAATTCAGTCTGGTTGTTGTAGAGACGATGGGAATCAAAAAAGAAAAACAGAAAAAGCAAAAAAAAAAAAAAAAAATGGAGGGGGAAAAGTAATCCAAACATAACTAAACGTATTTGGACCATAGAATGGCCAAATTTTACGCTCATCAACTTTCAGAGATTGAAGGGTTTTTGTTTTCATATTTAGGAGAAAAAGAAAAAAAAAATTTTTTTTTTACTTTGAAAACAAAGAATGAAATTACGGCATATTAAAAAGCTTGAAAAATATTTAAAGTGGAAAATTAGTTTCGTTTCGAAAAATACGAAATAATAGATGTCAATTATGATGTAATAATTAAAGCAAAGGGAGAAAAATTATTCGAATTTTTGTTAATTAAAAATTACATTCATTTATAACGAATAATTTATTGTGAAATTTCATTAAAAAGAAAATGTTTTTTTTTTTTTTTGATAAAATATTTCACTTCGGGAAAAATTTCATTAAATAATAATGTAAAATAATGTAAAAATGTAATGGAATAATGTAATTATTCGCGTTGCTTTTAATTTAATAAATATCGATATTATTAAAATACCAAATAATTTTCTATTTATTTAAATTCGGAAATTTTATTATATTAAAAACAATTTTTTCTTATAAAAAAAATTCTCTCTATTTTTATTAATATTCTGGATATAAAGAATAATTTTTGAAGGAATAAAAAAATTTTCAATTATTAATGTTTAAATATTTTTTAATAAATAATACTTTTTTTGAAATAAATTTTTATTAAATATTTTTTGAAATAAAAATTTTTTTTCAGTTGATGCAGCGAGAAAAACGTGGTCAAAAATTCAAGAAGACGAGGGAAAACCAAAGACAGATCTAAATAGAAGAAAATCATTACGAAGCTCCAGTGTTGAATCAACAAATGATCAATTAAAAACAGCGGAATTGCGCCGCAGGTCCTTAAGATCGAGTTCCATCGATAAATCCAGTGTAATTACGTGAGTAAATATTTCCAATAAATATTTTTTTTTTCTATCCAGAATTTAAATTTTTACAAAAAATATAACAGAAAGGAAATTTTTTTTTTTTAATTTACATAGTTTTTCAATTGTACACAATTTTTCAAAAATTACAAAAAAAGAAAGAAAAAAATAATTTTTGTAATTCAAATTCAAAACAAAAATTTTTTAAATTTACGGAAAATTAATTTTTATTTAAATATACAAATTTATTATTTTTGCTTTTTCTTGATAAAATGAAATTTTTTTGATTCGAGAAAAAAAAAGACAGTGAAGAAATAAACATTTCGAATAAAGTTGAGGGGGAAATTTAACGATTTGGAACTTTAGTGGAAAATTAGTTTGAAGGAGTATGCGGTGGATCGTCTTTCGATTTTTTTTCCTCGCTCTCCTGATTTTTACGAGAATGAATTTCCACCTGTTCAGGGTTTTTTTTTTTTATTTCTTTCACGAGAAATGCTCTTGCACACCAATGACATATATGCAAACTTTATTACATAGTTAACGAAATTTAATTAAATTTATACTTTTACAGTAATTTGAAATTTTATGTTTAAAAATTAAATACTAAGTTGAATATGGAAATAATTTCATTTAAAGAAATTAAATAAATTAAAAAGTATTTTAGTTTTAGAAAACTAATAGATATTTCATTCATTTATTTATTTAATTATTTCATTTATTTTATTTTCATTTATTTTTTATTTATTTAATAAATATTTCATTATTGTTCTGAAATAATTAATTTTTAGTCAAAAATTTATTTTTTGTTTCATATTTTATTTTTAATTTTATTTTCTTTTGATTTTATTTTTGATTTTATTTTTTACTTTTTATTTTATTTGATTTTTTATATTTCATATTTTTTACTTCCTATTTTATTGTTTATTTTATATTTTATTTTCCTATTTCAATTTATTTTGATTTATTTTTTTATTTATTCTACATTCTAGATTTTATTTTGTTTGATTTCATTAATTTTATAAACAATATTATTTTTCTTCATCTTTCTATTTGGTAGAAAAAATGGGATTCCCAAATATTTACAGAGCAGTTTGCGATTTTTGAGTTTTAATAATTTCCAGATTTTTGAAGTTGAAAAAATATATTTTTTTTTCTAAAACAGGGATTCCCGCAAATTTTCCAAATTTTCCCGCATTTTTCAATGTTTTAATTTGCATGTCAGTGTTGGGTAGTTAAAAAAAAATATTTTTGCTAAAGCAGGGAATCCCAAAATTTTTTGGTTATTAATATTCCATTTAGCCAGAGCTGGGTAGTTAGGGGAAAGATAATTTTCTTTACTACTTGATTTGACAAAACGGGGAATCACGATTCTCCTTCTTTATCAATTTTTTCGAATTCATAATTAAGATTCCTGTTAAGAAATTTGAAACTTTCATTTTTTTAATGAATAATTAATAATTAAATTCTGAAATAATAATAATAATAATAATAATAATAATAATAATAATAATAATAATAATAATAATAATAATAATAATAATAATAAATACAAATGAATAAAGAATAGACAAAAAAATTGAACAAAATAAAGAAAAATTTGTTTGTATTAAAAATTTAGTAACGTTAAAAGTGGAAAGAAAATGATGATACGAATTTTTTTTGGTATAAAATATAAAACTTAAAATTCTATCGATTTGCAGGCCCTCCACCGAAAACAGTTGCGCGAGCAGCACATGCAGTTCTCCAAAGGGCGAGGACAAACGTAACCTACGTTCTCGATCCAAACTCGCAGCAATTACTGAAGCTGATTTAATGTCAATGGCTGCTGGTGATGCCAGCATTATTGAATTGCCAGTATTGTTTGAGTCAAGAAATCAGGACGGAAACGATGATGAAGAATCTGACGAAGCGACCATTTGCTTAGAATTCAATAATCAAGAAGGAGACTTTTCCGAAATTGTCACTGACGTCGTTGATAGGTATTTTTATTTATTTTCAGTTTTTTAAATAAATGAAAAAATAAACTAATAAAATTAAAATAAACTAATAAATTTTATTAGTTTACTTTTATTTTTTTATTTATTTTAATTTAATTAATATTTTTAAAAATAATTGTATTCTTTCGAGAAATTTTATTAAACTTGTATTGAAAATAATTGAATTGCTCTAAAGAATTTTATTATTTATGAAAATAATTGAATTCTTGCGAAGGATTTTAATAAAATTTTTGTAAATAATAGAATTTTTTTAGTCATTCTATGAAAATAATTGAATTTTCCCGTGAAATTATTATTATTTATGAAAATAATAAAATGTTTGCGTAGAAATTTTACTTAAATTTTTTATAAATAATTGAATTTTTTTTGAAAATTAAAGATGAAAATGTTTTTTTTAACTTTTTCTTAAAATTAATTTTAATTAATAAAAATTATTTGTAATTTTTTTCGAAAACAGAATTCAACAAGACATCAACGAGGAGTTGAAGAATACCGAGCCACAATCTTTCGAGGCATTGCAAACTTACAATAGAAAAACACCAACCAACAATCAGCAAAAATCGAAGCAAATGGGAGGCAACAAGAATAATAAATTGAAGCGCAATTTCATTCCTCACGATTCAATAAGAACATTTTTTGACAGTATGGCAATAACTGTATCAAGTTTCCCCATACATCTTCAAGCTAAAGTGAAAATTGAAATTTGCAAAATAGTCGGAGGTTTTGAGTACGACTTAACATCATCGAAAGCAAATTGAGCTTTTTTTGTTCGCTCCCTCTTTTTTTTCGTCTTCTTCACTCGACGAAAAAAAAATGGTATTTTATTTTCTATTTTTCGTCAAATTCTATACAAGTTTTTTTTTTGAATTTTTCGCTTTTGAAATGAGCTAGCAAAGCGACCTTGAAGTTTCTTTGGAGTGTTGCCAAGATTGTTCTCTCAGTGAGTGAGAGAGAGAGAGAAAAGAAAAAAAGCAAAAAAAAAAAAAAAAAAAAAATTTAACCGAGGGATAATTTTAGATCCCGTTGAAAGTAGTTTATGATAATGGGAACATTTTTCATAGAAACTTTTTTTCAAGGGGGGGAAAGAAATTAAAGAAAATCTCTGTCTTTAGGAGATATTTTTACTATTTCGTTTCTTTTCCTTTTTTTGTCGTTTTACTCGTTTCTCAAGAATTTTGTTTCTTGATTTTCTTCCCTACAATTTTTTCCTTCTTTTATATTTTCTTTTCTTTCCTTAATCTTTTTTAATGTTCTTTAATCCAGTTTCCCGAGTTTTTCAAATATTTTTCCATTTTTTCGTTCGATTTTTCTCTTTTTTTTCTTTAAACAAAACTTTTTCTTTTTTTGTTCTATAAATTTTTTTCATACATTTTCAAATTTCACTTTCAAATTATTTTATTCGTTAAAATAGAAAATTTTTTTTTCAAATTCTTTTTCAGTTCTGAACTTTTGAAAACTAAAAATAGAAAAAGTCGAATGAAAAAAATTTTTATTGAGAAAGAATGAGAAAAATTTGTATAAGGAATTTTTTCTTATAATTAGTTTATATATTTAAAGATAAAGTCGAAAGAATTTTTTCGGTTGATGAATTTTCGCTTGAAATCCATTTGCGATAATTTATGGCACAAAGTTTATATAATTGCACTGAGTTTTCGATTGTGTAAACATCTTTTTGGATTATTGTCTCGTTCGCGACGTTTATATATATATAATTAAATATATATATATTCACGCGAAACAACAAAATCTTCTAATTCTGTTTAACAATGCAGATTTCTGGCTCATGAGAGGCAGTAAATTATTGAGAACTGGCAAACGTTCACCAAAAGCTGATTCACTTAGCTTTAACATTTGTCTTCGCAGATACAATCCAAAGAGAGGATAAACTTTAATTAGCTTTGGTTTACATTTTAACTAACCCCAAAATCTCAATTTTAAATTTATTTCCTATTTTTCTTATTTTGAAAAAAAATTCCATTTCTTTCTACGATTTCCCCAATTTTATCTCATTTTTCAATATAAATTTCTTTTTTAATTCTTGAAAAACGTAAAAATTAACACTAATTTTGAAAAAAATAATAAAAAAATTGTAAAAACTTATGAAAAAATTTTAAAAAAATTTTAAAAAGAAAAATTAAATATAATATTAAAAATTAATATTTTGGAAGAATTGAAAAAATTAAAGTAGAAAGAAATTTAGAAACATAAATTAAAATACAAAAAGTGAAAAAAAGAGAATAAAAAATTACGAACTATATTTATAGATTATAAAAAGAAAATCTTGCCAGCTCATTTCCAATTTAATTGCGAATTTATTCTTTACTTCTTTCGTTTGTTTATACATTTTTTATGTTTCCTTTCATTCTTTATCTTTTTTTATTCTCTTCTTTTTTGTCGTAATTTCTTTTTCATTTCTTTTTGTTCATTAACACGTTTAGAAGTATACACTTAAGGTTAAGCTCTTCGAAATAAGTAGAATACGTTTAACAAAGAGAAAATTTTGTTTCGAGAAATAAATAAATGTTTAAACAGAACTTCTTTTCTATTTCCTTTTTTTATTTCTTAAATTTATACTTATACTTTATTTTATTCTTTTTATTTCATTTTTATTTTCTTTCTGGTTTTACAAATTTTTTTAAAGAAACTTTTTTTCCTTTTAATTATTTGCAAATTTTATTTATATCTTTTATTAGAATTTGTATTATTTATTAAATTTTATTAAATTTTATTTATAAATTCCTAAATTAATTTACACATTAAAAAATTTTTGTTTCATTAATTTTTCTATTAATAATATAAGTCGGAGAATTGAAATAAACATTTAATTTGCATTTTTTAATGTTTAATATTAATTTCAAAATTTCAATAAACGGGGATTCACAGATTTTTTTTTATAATTGGCGCTTTAATAGATTTTCTATTTTTCAGTCATCTAGTTTTCAATAATAATTTCATAAACAGGGGATTCCCAAATTTTTTTTTATCGAATTAAGTCATTTTCGATTTTCTATTTCTATAGGGTTCATAAAACTGAAATTTTTTATTTGTTTTCAATTTACTTTACGCTTTATTTTGAGTTCATAATTTTACTACAGTGGAATTTTTATTTGTTGGTTAATTTTTGCAAAAACGGGGAATCCCAATTTTTTCTATACTTTGCGACTTTACAATTTTTCAAATTAGCCAGGGTTGAGTAGTTTTGGAAAAAACATCCTTTTGTTTGTTGATTTGATAAAAAGGGAATTCTCAAATTTATTTTTTCTTTCAGAATTTATGGCGTATTTTATTTATTTGTCCAGGGTTGAATAGTTAAGAAAAAAAATATTGGCAGTTGATTTCATAAAACGGGGATTCACCATTCTTTTTATTAGTTTTCACCTTTTTTTGTCTAATTTTTGAAGATTTGGATTTTTTCTAGAAAAACGGGGATTCCTAATTTTTTTCTAGTTTCCTGATTTTACCAGAATCGTGTTTTAAATAACACAGATCCTATTATTTTTATTTCTTTGCGCTGTGTTTAATTTTCTGTTTAACCAGGGTTGGGCAGTGAGGGGAAAAAATATTTTTGTCAGTTGATTTTTCAAAAGGTATTTTATTTATTTATTAAACATTTTTATCAGTCGATTTTTTGTTTTCTCAATTTACAATAGTTAATTTTTTGGTGGTAAAACCGGGAATTCCACTTTTAGTTTAAATTGCGTTTTTATGCTTTTAATATTTTTCAGAGTTGAGTAAGAGAAAAAAATATTACTGTCAGTTGTATTTAAAAGAAATTTTATCAATTTTTATTTTTAATTTATCTATGTTTTTTAATTTCAATTTATTTATTTATTTTATTTATCAAATGGAGGTTCCCAACATACAACTCATATTTTTTTTCTTTAACCAGGGTTGGGTAATTAAGGGGAAGAAACTATTTTTTGCAGCTTTTTTCCATTTTTTTTTTTATTTTTTTTTATCAAACGGGGATTCCCAACATTTTTTTCCATATTTTACACATATTTTTATTTTCTTTAACCAGGGCTAGGTAACTAAGGGAAAGAAACTTTTTTTTCAGTTGATTTCATTAAACGGGGGTTCCCAACATTTTTTTTAATATTTTACAATATTTATTTTCTTTAACCAGGGTTGGGTAATTAAGAGAAGAAACTTTTTTTACAGTTGATTTCATCAAACGGGGGTTCCCAACATTTTTTTAAAGATTTTTTTACAATGTTTATTTTCTTTAACCAGGGTTGGGTAATTAAGGAAAAGAAAATATTTTTTGCACTTGATTTCATCAAACGGGGATTTTCAACATTTTTTTTCACATTTCACGCATATTTTTATGTTCTTGAACCAGGGTTGGGTAATTAAGGGAAAGAAAATATTTTTTCCACTTGATTTCATCAAACGGAGATTCACAAATGTTTTTCTTTTAAAAATTAGCGCCTTTTTTGGTTCTTTTTTGAAACCAAGTTGAAAAGGGGTTTTCCCAAATTATCCTTTTCACAGTTGGAAAGAAATGTCTACTTTTTTTCCCTATTTTATCAGAGTTGGGTAGTTACAGGGAAAAATAGTATTTTTGTCAGTTGTTTTTCCATAAACTCGATCAAAGTTGGGTAGTTAAGAAACTTCTTAATGCCAATTTGCAACCAGGGTTGGGAATCTAAGTGAATGGACTGTTTGCAAACTTGTCAGGTTTTGGTAGTTAAAAAAAGAAAATTCCCCTAAAGAGCAACAGAGTTGGGTCGTTACGAAAAATAAGGCGCTATAGTCTCTAGTTCCAAACTCACCAGGGATGGGTAACTAAAAATAATAATTATTTTTACGTAATTTTTTCAAGTTTTTTTCATTATTGACAAAAAAAAATCAACTTCCCAGGGTTCGGTAGTTAGAAATAATAAATTTTGCCACAAAATCTCCACTAAATCTCCGAAAATAACAGAGATGGGTAGCTATGAATACTAATTTCAAATTGTGACAATTAAATACATTAAGTTCTGTCAACAGTTTTTATTTTTATCATAAAAAAATTGCAAATTTCCCACGAGAAGAGATTTTAAGAAACTATTTTCTATTCGTCTTAATACTGCGTCCGTAGAATTGAAATGTAGGTTATTTAAGAAAAAAAGAGAGGCAGAAAAGGGAAGAGATCACGTATAGAGAGAAACTGGGGGCTCGTGACGTAAATTAAAAGCACAAATCGCCTGCGGCGCCTTGGTATAGGCTGGATCCATCGACCAGAAGGGCATATGTACGTGACGTTATTACTGAAAATATCCCATCCGTGTAAAGTTGCGTAAAAAAAAGGACTGGCAATGACCGCTTCTCCCTTACCTTCGCTCTCTTGTTCTTTTGCCTGACCAAATCAACTCATTTTTCCCGGTCAGTGCACTTTCTAGAAATTACCTTTTTCAAAAAAAAAAAAAGCTCGTCGTTTTTTTATGTTGCTATTGCATTCATTTTTTCTTCTTTTGCCTGTATTTTTTACCCTGCATTGGTTAATTTCAAAAAAAAAATAAATAAATAAATATTTTTACTGCTACAAAACAAAACAATCTTGCTTTCACAAACAAATGTTTATATGAAATTCATAACTTTTTTCCACACTATTGACTCTTTTTCTATAACAAAAATATATAATTTTGCAAAAAATATTCAAATAAAAAAAATTGAATTTTTTGTGGAATAATTGTAAAAAAAATATTCTTTTATTATACCTAGTGAACAATTGTTTGTATTTTTATTACGTTAATTTTAAAATTTTTCAATTCAAGTTCATTAAGTTGGTAACCAGTGCTTTCATCGAAAAAAATAGAAATATTTTTTTTTTTCATGTAGTTTTATTTACTTTTATTGTTATTTGTATTTTAATTTATATTTTAATAACAATTTTCCTAATGTTTATTAATACTTTATTAACAATTCTGGTAAATTTTTTCAAGAAATTAAAATTCACGGTCACGAATAATTTTTAAGTCATTGGTCATTTTTCATTAAAAATATTAAGGCAAATCGTAATATTTCCATGAGAAAGAAAAGGATAGACATATCGTTTGTCCTTTTCTTTCTCACGTAAATTAATTCTTCTTATAAAAAAATAGACAAACCGTTTTTTTT